AGCGCGAGTTACCCCTGGTGAAAAAAAAAAAAAAAAAAAAAAAAAAAAGACTGAGTGCTTTATGTTATCTCAGTTAATGGTCAAAATATTTGACAATATAAGTGATTTTATTTTCACTTTTCACATGAGGGGATGGGGGACATAAAGATGTTGAAGGAACAAGCCAAGGGCCTTGTCGATTTTACGAGGCAGAACTGAGAGTTGCTTGACTCCAAAGTCTATGTGTCTGGCCACTGTTTCATACAAGTACCCTTACATGGAGTGCAGGGGGCTCAGGCTGCTCAACGAAATAGCAGCTCCCAGGCTAATATGACGGGCTGGACTTGACTGTAATTGAGGCATTCTCCATATTTCTACTTCTGGTATAATGCTTGACAATGATACATAAGAATTTAATAATCAAAGAAAGAAATAAAGACTGTTTAATTCATCAGCTAAGAGGTGGTGGTCTGGCCTTGTTTGAGCTCTTCCTTTAAGGAAGTGTTAGCAATCCTGCAGGACTTTATCCAAGTGGTCTAAAAGGGAGCTGCGTGGTCAAGTTGGGGCTGACAACACTCAGCAGCTCCTCCTGTCACTCGGGGACATGGAGACACGAATGGCTGCTGCCACATGGCCCTGACAACACTTCCCAGCGGAGGGCCAGACCACCTCGGGAGGAGGTGAGCCCATAGCTGCAGGAGTCTTCTCTGTTGTCTTCATGTTCTGAGTAACTGCTGGGAATAATTGTAGTGTATCATGTTTGGTAGAAACTAAGTAACAGGAATTGACTCATGTGGAAAATGAGTTTGTTTTGTTACACATGCTAGTGTGTCTATGCTGGAGAGAGCTCCCCGATAATTCTATGACCATTTCTTATAGTGCCAAGGGAGTATGTGTTGAGTGTGATATAATCCTATAAGGATTAGTGGTTCAGTGGAGACTCCGTGTGTTAGCTGGGTTCATGAAATGACCACAGTAGTTATTGTGCCCCCATTTATTTCCTTGGTTGCCTAAACTCTATCTTCTGGCCTTTGGGTCCTTTGTGTGACTGGAGGACAGGAATTCTCAGTGGGCCCAGAGTGCCCTTGTGCTCCCTCCCTAAATGCAGTGCCAACAACCATGGAAGATCCCTGGGGAATTTCCTTTCAAGAGAATGCACTTGTTATTCTTTTACAACACTGTCCTTTTCACGACTGGCTATCTTGCTGGCTCCTACCGTTATTTTATCTGTAGAGACTTTACAGTTCATATTTTTACTACCATCTTTCTGCCCAGAGCTGGGCCCAACATCTAGAGGTCATTGTGGTGGAAAAAGCACAAAACTTTGTTCCCAATATTCTGAAAAAAGAAATTGAGACAATACAAAAAGGTGCAATCCTTTGCCTGTATCAGGAAAAGAAGAAGAGATGTTTTTCTTGGAGGATTTTTGGAACAGAGAAATACACTTCTTAACCTTCACATCAGAACAAAGACACCAGGCTGACTGTGGACCTTGGCAGGGTGACATCAGGGCCTACACACCGCTGTCTTTCTATAGCTGCTGTCTTGAAATCCTCTGAGTCTTAGGCATATTCTTTTCCACAGCCTCAAGAACCCAAGGTCTACATCATTAAGAGATGGCTTGACTTTGGAAAGAGTAAAAATTCATTAGGATTTCAGTTTAACAAATAGGGAGTGGCTTTCTCTTTAAAAAGTGTATTTTTATTTCTTTTATGAAAATCAGATGCCAATGTATATCACTTTGTGGCTTTTCTTTTTCTCTTCTCTTTTTCTTCCAAGAAGAGTTCTGTCTACAAAATGCATGACTGTTTTAGGCAGCTGATAAAATGGCTTTGATAATGGTTTGCAGCGAAGTTCCTCAAAGAACTATCCCAAGGAGGGGGCACTCGATGGCCATACAAGGGGATCACTTTAAGCAGGATGCTGGAGGCATCTCAAACTCCATGAAGCCCACCTTGAACTCATCACCCCCTTTATAACCCAGGACCTCGGCCTTGGTCTTTGCTGCTCTCAACCTTCTGGGCTAGGGCTGGGGATTTGGCTCAGTGGTTGTACCACCTGCCTCAATCTTCTGGGCTAAAAGTGGGGGTCACCTTTGGCTCTTGCCACCCCCTCACCTAATCTGCCACAGCTGCTGTACCTCCACATCCTGTGAATTTCACCCCCTAGGTAATGCTAAGCTTCTCTTTTCTCCATCCAACTCTCCCTGCCTTCATTTAATTGAAGCCCTCAGTATCCCTTACCTTCTCTACTGTAATGGCCCCCAACTGGTCTCCCTGTAGCCAATCCTGGTTCTTTCTTTTTCTCATTGACTTTATTGGTACATTTTAGGTGTACAGTACAGTTACGTTCATCATTGGTGTGGTTCTTTTAAATTCATCTCTTAGGCTGCACAATTGTTCAAACACACAAATCTGATCATGCCTTTTCTCTATAAAACCCCTCCATGGCTCCCCTGAATGGACATCACTAATATCACCCACAGGATCAAGTTGCAGTTCTATGCATGTATCACTGTAATATGATGTCTTTGCCTCTTTTGGGAAGATGCCTAGAAGGGGGTTCAGATCCAAGAATCACGTTCTCTAACAGGACAGACTTGACTCTTCACAATGTGGCCTCCCCTGCCCGCACACCATGCTGTTTTCATCTCTGCTTTCTTTGCCCATGCTCCATCCCCTGCCTGCTCTGCTCTTTCTCCTACTGAAGTGTCACATAGCTAACTGCTCATTCTCTACGACCCACCAAGGAGTCACCTCTGCCAGGGAGCCTTCTTTTCTGAGCACCATGGATGCATCCCTGTCTAGGGGGCCACATTATAATTATGGGCTTCATGACTGTCTTGCCCATTATATGACAACTTCCTTGAGATTGTGACTTACTTTAGACTCAGTGCCTAGCACATTGCTGGTACAAAGCAAACCATGCCTACGTTCCTGGAGCTTGGTTAAATCTGTATACAACAAAGTATTTTATCACTGTAAAGTACACTTTAGACATTTGCTCACCTTTGAAAAATCATCTACTATTTATTTAAAATGTATTATTAGACTAGCATTGTGCTTTGCACTGAAAATTATCCTGGTGGTGGTAGTAGGGGGTACATTTTTAAACAGAGCTGAACAGTTGGATGTATTTGCATAAGCTTATGATCCCAGCATTCTGGGAGGCTGAGGCAGGATAAATTCAAACTCAAGCCCAGCATGGGAAAGTCAATGACCTAGTGAGGCCCTATCTTGAAATAAAAAATAGAGGCTGGGGATATAGCTCATTGACAAGGCCCTGAGTTCAATCTCCAAAACAAACAAACCAATAAACAAACCCTTGACTGAATTAGTGAGTGTAAATGTATTTTGGTCACTTTAAATGTTATGTCTACATGCAAAAATGAGTGGCACTGACCCCAGATGATACAGGAATCCAGAGACACGGACACCCACACAGGCTGCAGCACAAAGAAAGCTCTGTGGAGAAATGGGCTATGGACATTCTCTTGTGGGAAGTTCCACATGGGACACATGTGACATCAAACATGAACTTAGAATGTCCAGGAAACCACTTGGGCCTGCAGTAAACGTTGGGAAGGGCGAGACTAATCCAGGTGAACAGAGAAGTATCATCTTGTACAGTGACTTTACAAAGGGGCTTTGGTACTTGGGCCTCCTCCTAGAAGTGGTGAGGCTTCACTCAGCACCAGGAATGGGAATAAGACAAAAGAGAATTTGAGGGCTGGAGCGAAGAAATAAGGGGGATTAGGAGCTTTACCACGCTCTAAGTGATCCCTAACAAAGCCCTCTTCTAGGCTGATGGCTGGGGAGA